TAGTTACCGATCGCGCGATTTTATACGCGAAAGCAAATCGCCGCGATTTTTTCAAAACACAAATCATTTTGTGTTTATCGCGAGATTTTGAAATAGTGCTTCGTTAAATACAGATTTTGGTGAATATAGCTGAAAATATTTGATTTTGCGCTTAGCGCTAATTTTTTATTAATTTAAATGAATTCAATGACAACCTTTTTTGATGATATAAAACCAAAGGATCAAGTTAAAATTATGATTTAAATTTAATTATTTTTAGAAAATAGTTAAAATAGCTTTTATTCTTTCTGTTAAAGAGTACGAATGTTTATATAATAAGCATAATCATTTGTATAAAAGTATTATATACAAGAATAAAATCTGGGAATTATTAGCCGAGCAGTATAATATGCCTGGTAATAATTTTGCATACATTTTATATTTATATGTTTTTTTAGGTTCATCTCAAATCTCTGGAAAAATCTGAGAGATTGTTTTATAAAAGAGAGGCAAAAGCTAAAAAGTCTTAAAAGTGGGTCAGAGGGTAGGAATCACATCTCATGGCCATTCTATCAGGATATGCTATTCCTGGTAGAAACCTTAACACCTAGATCACAGAAATCCTCTTCAGATATGGAGGTACTACTACAGGGGGTATACATGAATGTAAAATATAGCATTTTAATTGATAAAATATATTTATTATTTAGGTGATTTTGATGATAATGAGAATATATAAGATGATATATTTATTCCCAAAGATTCTGCAACACTGGTAATTAATAATATCTATAAATTTATATTATCTTTTATATAGAATCTATGTCCTCTGTTGGGTCACCTAGTTCTTATTATAAACATCCTAAGAGAAAGAACAATGATATGGGTAATTTATATTTATTGATAAATTTTAAATAGATAACTATAGGAAACTGATGAAAATAGAAGCAGATAAAGCATTAATAACCTTGGAAATGCTTAAAAATAAATCAACAGAACATGCAATATGTTTAATGTTAAAAGAAAAATAGGTGATTGTACCAAAGAGGAAAAAAAGAAATAACAAATAAAATACTTGATATTTTAAAAGATTATTGATTAAAATCATTTTGTATATATTTTTGTTATTTAAAATATATATTTTTGTTATTAGAAATATATATTTTTTATGTATTTATATTATTTGAAATAAACATTTTGTGAAATACATTGAATGATATAATTATTCCCAAAAGTCCTGCATGTACTGAGTTTGGTAATTAATAATGTCTAAATATATATTATTTATAATAAATTATCTTTATCTTAGATAAAGTTTAATGACATTGGTAATTTATGTTAACTTGCTTTATAAAAATATTTTCAATAGATAAATTTAGAACAACTATATAGCCTTTTTAGTGACATTTCTACATATATATTTTATGAGTTTAGACTATATTAATAATAACTTTATTTTTATTAATCTATAATATAGGATTTTTATTTAAATATAAAAATAATAAATTTCTATTATGCTTTCCAATATTTGTTGCTGATTTAATGGATTTGGCAAGTTGTCCTAACAATTTTCTGGACTGTAGATATGCCTATTTTGAAAGAATAGGCCAAAGTAGGATACCTACAGCCTGTTGCTAAATACCTAAATAAAAAATATATTTAAATAATAAATTGCTTTATTTTTACCCTAAACAAACCATAAGCTTTTCTTCAACACTTATAGGATGTTTTATAAAATTGGTACATTTGGTATGTAATAAAGGTTTTAAATGTTTGAGTATATAATAAAAGGTTTCTAAATTAAAATGAAATATAGATAAAATAGAATAAAATTACTTTAGTCATTCTCATATAGTTGAAAATTTAGGCTCATTTTTTAATAGTTTAAGAAAGAGGACATAAAATTCGCCATCTTTTGTTTTATTAATAGTAAGATGGTTTAATCTTCTCTTCAAGCAGCGTCTACATGACAAGATTTTTACTGGATGCAAACCCCCTTCAAAAACCTTTGCCTACCCCCTAAAAAAATTTTACCACCTTCGGCGCCGGTGTCTCTTTATTATTCTTTTCACCTATTTATTTATTGATACTCTTTTCAAAGAATTTATAAAGGATATCTTAAATTAATCTATCTCTACACCAACTATCGACATTTTGTGAATATAAAGAATTTATTTTTTAGATAATAAATTCAATTAAAACCTCCATTATTTACAATGAATTAATTATTATGGCATTATGAGCTTGCTGAAATATCTAAACCTTTTAAATTACATTTAAAAGGATAGTTTATTTGGAAAACAATGTGTATGATTGTTTGCAATATATAGATTTGGTCCATGAACTCTATTATAATAATACTATAATAAAAGTAATCATTTATACAGCATTAAATTTTTTCCTATTTAATCTCAAAATTTAATAGATAACCCGCTAAAAAATTTATCCTACCCCATTAAAGCAGCTTACCCCCTACCCCATCAAAAAAATAGGATGCAAACTGTTCCTACCCCTCTCGCTCATGTAGACGCTGTCTTCAAGATCATTCTGTAAAAAAATAATAATTTGAGGATGGATACCATTTTGAATTAATAACGTTTTGCACTGCGCTATGATGAAAATCGCTGCGTTCTATCCAGCTGATCGGTCGCTGCGATATCGCGGCGAAATCGCAATCGCTCTTCACTATGAATTCAGGGTTAAGTAGCAATAGAAAGGAGACATTAAATGGCTGCCCTTCCAGACAATGTGTTCAAAATAAAAAATCATCTAAGATAGTAACGTCACTCTCATTAAGAAGATGAGCAGAAGAGGGTTCGAAAGAAATAGCTACTGAAATAAAATATGAATTTAATTTGTTTATTTTTATAGATTTGATATTATTTTTTGAATTATAATCAAGACAGACATGCAAAAACACGCAGCGATTAATTCAGTTATTAGCCGTTCTCTAACGAGGGGCCGAATACCAAACATCCTGGAGTCTGCATATTTTTCATTAGATGATAGCATAGTCGCTTACCTTCTGTACCTTGATCTTTAGGTAAATCCTTAATTTGGGACTTCACATGCGTCTCTCCAAAAAATTAAAATTCTGACCCTAGCTTATAAATGACTAAAGATAACGATGCCAGATTTCGTAGGATTGTGTATCAACTTATTCTATAGTTAAATAATTGTAACAAATAAATTTCAATTTAGTTGTTATTGAGATATTTATAAAATTATGAGTGCCATCTTATCGATGCTTATAAAAATAGGTTTGAATTTTTACCACCATATTCAACCTCAGCTAAATCCCTTCGAAATTTTTTTTGGCGAGTCTTGAAAAATAAATATCGAGCAATCAATCCCCGCCCTAAATCAAGAGATGGAATTGTTGGGAATATTATTCAGCTCTTACATTGATTTATTCCTTATGATTTTACTAACTTTTTACAATCACACGCAAAGCTATTTGGAGTTGGATTATCGCGGACCTGATTAAATAGGTATTAATTTCTAAAAAAAGGTATCAATCATCAAATTCGTGGAACAATGGAATATTTTGATAAATTATTATCATATTTTTTTTATGTATTGATTATTTTAACCAAATTATTATAAAAGTTTAAAGAATTATCAATTTTTTATCGAAATAAAATGAATAAAAAAATTTAAAAACTCTTTACAAAAAAAATGATATTGAATTTTAGATGAAATTTAATCAAAAATCTTATTTCAGCATTCTCAAAGATCAAAATAAATTTTTTTATCATTTTTCATCGCAAATTATATATTTACAACAGAATTTCTTTTTATTGATTATTCTTAATTATTTGCCTGTCCATATTTAATTTCAATATGTATTAAATTAAAATCTTATTTTGTTTTCCCGCCTTTTATTGTATATATATTTAATAATAGCAATCGTTCCATTGAGAATTATACATATTGGTGCAAAATTAGGCGGGCCAGGCCTAATTTTTATTTTTGAATATATATTTAGGTTCGGGCTGGGTTGGCCCGGGCTTATTTGAGATAAATTGATATAGAGAAGCCGCTAAAAGAGTTAAACTCTTCTCGGTAGTTAGTGTCAATTTCTCGATTATGTTCACTGTAAAAAAAAAGAAATTCTAATTTATTCGGGCCAAGCGGACAAATAATTAACATTTCGAGTAGGGCTTTTTGGGACAAATCAAAAAAATTGTTCGAAATAGCGGTGGACCGGGAAAATATTTTTAAATTCCGGGCGATCTCTAACGGAAATCGTTCCCAAAAATTAATGGTGGACCTGTGTTTAATCTTTCGAGCTTAGTGAGAAAACCAAGTGGTTGCCAACCATTATAAATGGCTATCCCCATATACCGAATTTTTAATGGTAAAAAAATTTGCATTTCCTAATTTACAATAACATATTTAAAATATTATCTTATGCCAACGATTTTTTTCTTTGCTAAAAAGTATTCAAATGCATGATCGATAGATAATTTTAAGTTCTATAGTTATCAGATATTCAAAAAATTAAAGATTTTTTTTTTGAAAAATAGATTATAAAAAATCAAACACTGTTCGTCATTAGGATGAATCAGTGAATTTAGATTTTTAGACTTTAATTTTAATAATTTTTTTGGTAGAATTTTACATAATCAAATATTATATTTCAATAAAATCTTGGATTAATAAACGTAAATGTAACTGAGCAAAGTAAATGTAATTGAGCTCTATACACATTTCGAAGTAAACTTTACAACTACTCTTAATCTATAGTGATTTCTGTATGTAATATACAAGTTTTTGAATTCATAGGGGTAAATCGCCCTAAAAATGATTTAAATATTTTTTATGAATTTATATCACCTTAAAAAATTACCAAATTTTAAAATACCATCTACTTTTAAACTTAAATGTCGAAAACTATAAAGGTGCTATTGGGCAAATTTTTATATTTAAAAAATAATATTAATTTTATAAAAATTTATTTATATAATTGTTAAATTTTAGTCAAATACATTAATATTAGAAAATAATTTCAACTAATGTCAACAAGAAAAAATAATTTTATCTCCTAATTTTTCTATTTATAATATATATTACAAACAATATTAAAAATATAACATGTAAAATAACAATAAACAATTTAAAACATAACAAATACAGTGGGGAGAGTAAAAAAGAAAATTTTATTTAGATCCGGTGAAATTAATATGGCCTCATCACAATATAGAAACATATATAAAAATACAAGCATAATTTAAAATATTTTTATTTTTGGAAAACAAATTGTTTTGTTATTAATTTTTATAGCTTAATGTATTTTGCCGCCTATAATTTTTAAAAAAAAACGGAAAATTTTTAGTTACTCCGAAGTTTAATACTTTTTTATAAAGGTCAGGCCAGGTCTCTATTTTTTTAACCCGGCTGGATAGCTAATCTCTAACAGCTGCTCGTACTGGCCAATAGAAAAAAAGGCTATTATTTTTCATAAATATATCTAGTTTCAAACTGTAAATAATAATTTGTACAAATTTTTTTTCATTAAATTTAGCACTATAAATATTTTTAAAAAGGGTGAAAAACAAAGTTAAAAATCCTGACCGGAAACGTGAATATAGATAAATCAAAGATGGCGACGTTATCAATTTATTATTTATATACGTGTTGTTAAAAATGTTTACTACCATATTATATAAGTTAGATTAGAAGTCGTTAGATTATACATATTACTAGTAAATAAAATTCTATTTATTTGGTAAAAGCAAGTCAAAATACTTAATAAAAATTATTTAATTGCTTACACTTTTATATTATACATATTCAAGCTATTTCACTTCCTTTAGAAAATAGGGTAGCCCTAAAAAGGGCTGTTGGGTATTTATTGTGCTTTTTGTGAATCACAAATTAATTTAGGCTCTCTCGCCACGGATTCTTCTGGCCAATTGAATATCTTTGGGCATTATGGTAACTCTTTTAGCGTGAATAGCGCACAAATTAGTGTCCTCGAAGAGACCTACCAAATAAGCTTCGCTAGCTTCTTGAAGGGCCATAATTGCTGAACTTTGGAAACGTAAATCGGTCTTGAAGTCTTGAGCTATTTCTCTAACGAGCCTCTGGAAAGGCAGCTTTCTAATCAACAATTCGGTACTCTTTTGATAACGTCTAATTTCTCTCAGGGCTACTGTTCCGGGTCTGTATCTGTGAGGTTTCTTCACTCCTCCGGTAGCTGGGGCAGATTTACGGGCTGCTTTGGTAGCTAATTGTTTCCTGGGTGCTTTTCCTCCGGTAGATTTTCTAGCAGTTTGTTTTGTACGTGCCATTTTAGAATTAACGAATTTTTTTTAAGGAGAATTTAAAAGTTTTAAAAAAAATATTCACAAAAGCGCAAAAAGTTTTAAATGATAATTATTTAATTTTAAACCCTTTATTATATACTTTTTTTTTCCAAACGATAAAAAAATTGGCGCCTCTTTTTGATTGGTTAAAATAAATATCGTAAAAAAGGCGCAATTATAAAAAATGTGCATTTTTTCAATATCATTTTTGTGTTAGTGTGTTTGTTTCGAGTTGGAAAAATCTCTCTAGATTTTGATTCTTAGCTGATAGAAGAATCATTTAAATTTTATTAAATAGCTTAGACTTAGCCGCACAGATTGATTATTTTCTTGCAACTGAGAGACCTGTATAAAGTGACCATTTTGATCAAAATTCTCCTTTATTTTTTAAAAATAAAAATGTTATTTTTTTTTTAAAAAAAACCTTTTACATTTGAACTAAATAAACCCTTTATAAAAGTGACCATTCTAATTCTAAATTTTTCTTACATTTATAATTTTTTTTTAAAAAAATTAAATTTCGAGAATTATATATTTTAAAATACAGCTTTTCCGTTCTAGGTGGTTACCATCTGTCCTCATTTCTGGTCTGAAGGTCAATATACTATACATTTTGATTAATCGAATGTGCTTTGATATACATTATTTCGTGACAAATCGTAACGCTAACATCATAACGCTCCATATTTAATACATTATAACCTATTGGCTTGATTTTGTAAATAGCACACCGCTTTGAACATAAAGCGTTTTCTATAAATGACGCTTAAGACTATTTTTTTAGAAAATATATATTTTACTTTATTGACTCTTTAAGCCTGACAACTTCTAATAGGTTTGGTTCCACAGTTCAGATCTGTAACCTCAAGTCACATTTGCCAGCTGATTTCAAATTTTGATCATTTTTATTTTTAACATGATTTTTTTAAAAAAAAAACATAAAATTTTGAGGAATTTATGGTCCTTAATTTTCCATTTCTGTAGGTAATTTTTTGTCCGGAGAAAAAAAATTATCGGCCATTTTTGCCCGTTTAATGTTCTCCTTCTCTGTAATGAAATGAATGACCACCATTATATTTTGATTAAAATATATTAACTTAAAATATTAAATTGGAAAAAAAAAGAATTGTTGGAATTTGTGTTTTTTGGATTTTTAGAATGATCCTATCAATATTTTAGCCAGAGTAATGCACATAAATTAGGCGTTTACATTTTGCCATAATTTATAAATAAAAAAAACGCGTAACGCGTCCTTTGTTTAAATTGAGATTGTCGTTTTTATTAATATCCGTCTATTCAAAATTTTAAATAAGTTTGTAAAAAAAAAAAAGATTTGTCTTTGAAAATTGTATTATCGTCTGCCTTCTAATTTCTTTAATTTCTAAATATTCATTTTTAGGATTTAAGTAAGTTATTTACATTACATTTTATATAATATTACAAAGCGAAGAATAAAAAAAAGGTATTGAAAAAGCAAACCTATTTGCGTTTTTTTTTTAAAATGGTTGCTAACGCCAAACTGTAATTTTTACCAATTTGCACGAGGCCATTTGAAATGCAGCGCTTGCAACGCAGCGTGTGAATCAATTTGTGAGCACTATAAATATTATGTAAGCCTTTAGATTTGTCAAATATCATCTATAAGCAAAAATCTCCCAGACTTACATAACACTTTTATGGCTAAAATCTTAATCGAGCCGTTTTTTTAAAAAAAAATCGACTCGTTTAATAACGCTAATTGAAATCAACTGAGTATTTATAGTATATATTTAGCTGGTCAGCTGTCGGGCCGAAGGGCGGGTTTCACTGGGATCTGTCCTTAATAGCAGTTCAGTTTAGTAAAATGTATATTTAACTGGTCAGCTGTCCGGCCGAAGGGCTATCATTGGGATTTGTCCTTAATAGCAGTTCAGTTTAGCTTTATAACAAACTATTCTTATTTTGTATCTTATTTTTGTATTTTATTTGTTATTCGCTAAAAGTTTGAAATATTCCTCGCATTAAAAAATTATTTAAAGATTTTTTTGGGGGAATGATCAAACAGGATACATACAATTCCAAATCTTTTTTTTATGTAAGAGAATCTAGTAAATCCTTTATGATTTTTTATGCATAAAAAAATCTTATATGATGAATGAAAATCGCAAATTTTTGTGATAAAAATTCTCAAAATTTTTAATAAATTTTTCTTTCCAATCTCTGGTTATTTGTTATCTAGAGTCGTTTTTTTTTTCATTTTCCTGTGAAACCAATAAGTTTATAATAAAAAAAAGATTATACTTTATAGTAGTGCTGTGAAGACAAGTAACGTCAAAAAAATTACGTCTTTACCTTTTTTGAAAAAAAAAAGAACTCTATTCGTACCTTCTTCTAAAAGTAATTTTGTAACGGAAACGCAAGATGTCACTCGTTACTTCGAATTTTTTTTAAAAAATATAGAAGAAAAAACATATTTTATTGTATTATAATGCTATTTTTATTTATTTTTAATTTTTATAAATAATTTAAGCCGAATTTTTAAGTTCACATCAACCACCAAATTCCTTAATTTTTTTAAAATTTTCGTTGATAAATTTTCAGTCAAGATTGTCAATCTTTAATATTGAATTATTCAATATATGTAAATTTATATTCTTATTAATATTATAATTTATTTTCTAAAGAATATCATGTCAATTGTACAATTTCTTCAGATGAAGATGAGTCAAGCCAGCCTTGACTCCAATATGAAACATTTTTTACACCAATAAAGAAAACTAAGACACTTTGTAAGTGTAAATTGTGTCCCAACTCAAATATTTTAACCTCAATTATGAAATAAACATGGGCATCCTCCAAACTTGTGCATTTTTAAGGAAAAAAATGCGATATCTGATTAAACTGGTTATAACAAGATAGAACTCTTTCTATAACTCCGTGAAATTAATATAGTCTTATTTAAGGAGTATGGCCATAAATTTGACGAATCTTATAATAAATCATAATTTACAGAGATTTTCAGATAATGACAGGGCGTTCATAGATGAATATTGTATGGTTATATATATATGCTTTTATATGTTATGGAATCTGTTCCTATGGCTCTTTCGATTTTAGAGAGTGTAGAGAAAATGCATTTTGGAAATCTCACTCCCGCGATAACTATTATAAAAATTTAAAAAAATGGCTTCAAATAATTTCATTTTGTATGCCACTTATTAATGCAATTCTGCAAGAGAGGTATACAGTATTGTTGACAATTTTCTTCTTGATATTATTTTATTTTCATATTGAATACATATATTCTCAGCAATAATTCACCCGCTATTTAAATCAGATTAGCCATCGTAAAACTAGATATCAGTCAAGGAAGTATCTTTAAAAAAAAACAACACACGTAGAGATTATTTTCTAATAAAGATTTTAAAATAAAAAATGGATGAGGATCTAATGAAGATTCCTTTAACCATGAACTAAAAGCTTTTTTCAGAATAAAGATTATTCCTTAATTTTTAATGAATTCCTCCAATTAAAATTTTTATTTTTCCAAATATAATAAAACCCTCCCATTCTCGTGTGTTCAGCTGCGAAAGCTGTGTTTTAGCACTAACCACTCTGGAAATATCTTCAGAACTTTATCGTTCCTCGATTAAAATTATATTTTTTAACAGACAGACCGATCAAAGTGGGATAGACATATTTTTTCAGACATATCGAAAAGGGTACATCTTTTAAAATAATTTGTAAACAAAAATTATATATACGATTTTATATATGGAGTCAAGTTAGTTATAAAGATGGCTGGCAATCGAACAATCACCTGACATAATTATCCCACAAAGATTCCCTAAAAATAAAAATAAGGGCAAAAATATCCCCCCCCCCAATATTTTTTTTTATTAATTAAGATTTTACAAAAAAGAGTTTTAAGTGGCAGGTGTGTATTAGAGTCAGAGGTTACAAATCTGGACTGTGGTATCGAGCCTTTGAACGAGATTAAGGTCAAAAGGCCTCCTGATATTTGTTTCCGAGGAACCTATTTCCGGGAATTCGGATGGGGGGGGGATTCTTATGGTCAACATATGTTAATAATTAAATATGAAAGTCACGTGATCTCTTATTTAGGCCCATTATTTAAAATATCATTCTTAAATAACATAAATTATTATTTTTGTTATAATTATGTAGCTTAATTTCTTAAATTTACTTTGTTTTTTCTTACTTTTTAAAAAAAATTACGATTTTAAATCTTTTTTTAAAAAAAAATAGATTAACGCTGTTTTGTTTCTCTCTCTTCCGACTTTCAATTAAAACTTTTATTTTCCTCGTGATCAATTTTCTATTTTAATTATTTTTTTAAATTGTCATTTAAAACACCACGATAAAAATTAAAAAAACAACTTTACATTAATAAAAACAAAAACCTCCATTTTTTTTTGCATTGTTTTGAACAAGAAAAATACAATTAATGTTTTAAGAACGATTTGTTTTTTTTTGTTGAGATTTAAAAGGGATCTTGAAGGTGATAATTTTTATAAGTGATTAATACTAAAAATATTTTTTAAAAGAAAATAAATAACCGTATTATAAATGTTCACTTCAGAGACCTCCGAACCCGGCCCTATGTCCTACCCGGTTACAAGGGCCGGGCCGTATTTTAATTCTTTTAAACCCGGGCCGAGCCTAATGAAAATTATTTTTCAAAATAATCTTAAAACAAATTATTTTAAATCGCTATTATTAGCTATGGGGGAAAAATCTGGGGAGGTTGGGGGGGGGGGGGTAGTTATGCATTTACTTATTACCCTTCGGAATATTAATTTAATAGTTTCTTAAAAAAGATATGGATAAAATTTATTTAAAAAGCTATGATTTATAACATTCGAATTCAGAATTTTGGATTTAAGGCATGGTCAGCCATTTGGAAATCTCGGACATAAATGTCTTGATCTGGATTAAAAGACCTGGAAAAATAACTTCCGGTCCAAAATACTGTAAAAAAAAATCACTGAATTAATTATATATTTTTTTGCTTAAAAATATAAAAAATTATGTTATTCTACACTTGTATAAATATTTGAAG